AATAAGAGCAACTATAGCCCAAAAATGATTTATCGTTCATACGTTGCTTGAAATACAAATAATTTGAATCGAAATATTCACTCGTACAGATTTGCTTGGTAAAATGGAAATTTGGCCAAAAGCTACGAAAGAATGGTCAAGAAGTGAACTTTGCTCAGCATTTTGGTTTGGCTTGATTTGCTGGAAATGTTGTTTGATTGTTGGTTGGTGGAGAGAAGAGTTTTATTTCTACTCGTATCTAAATTTGCACAGTCAATAACTTTAGTTTGTTTTATGAATTTCACGAACTTATCGGAATCATGGCGTGATGATGGCACTTTTCAGTTTGGATTTGGGCTTGGGTTTTCAGTAATTTCTACTCCATGAAGAACCGGCTCTGTGTCCGTTTTAGTTTTGCTAAATTGTTTTTGCTTTGAGTTTTGTTTACGTCTTCCCATTTCGATTTCATGTTGATGTGCACAGAACTTTAACACCTGTTGTAGTCATTGTTGAGCGGTTACAGCCTTAAGCCCTTCTTACCATACTTGCTTAAACATTTTTATATCTTCCTACTTATGGCTTGATTCAATAAAAGAAAGGAAGTCGATGTTGAAGTTGAAATCGTTGTCTGCATGCAAACACATTTACTTTGAGTTCACCTTCAGGATGTAAAGTCGTGCATTAAATCAGATTCTGCAAGAGAACAAAACGGTATTCGTATTTCCTTTACGTTACTTTCCCACGCGAAATTTTAAAAGTAAATTATAAAAATAAAAATATAAAAGTAAAAGAAAGATCAAATAAAAGTAAAAGAGTAATATTCCCGAACATGTTAAACTATAAATGCTTAACAGCTGTTTTAAGCTGGATTTATTTGTTTCTTCTCTTGATCTCATTTTTGTTTATTGCAGATACTTTTCATGAATTCGCTTCGTTTTCATTTCAACGGGTTTCTTTTTTTGCATTTGCGGATTTTATTGCCGAAAGAATGAATTATTGCAATTAAGTTTATACTGCAAAAGATGCCGACAATCAAACCCATTGCAGCACACATGCCCGCGTTAATAAAATCGCCGCATATCCATTCATGGATCCATAAACGTGCAAACAACCGCTCTTCCGAACTTCTTAATTGTGGTTAATTGTGGCTGCCTTTGTTCGCTGTCTTAATTTTTTCTTGCGAATTGACAGCTGCAGTTTTACCTTACCGTCTTGTATAAAACAGTATCGCTTTATTGGTATATCGTTGTTTTTTAAGGTTTCTTTTGAAGGTTGTACAAAAGATTGTCTACAGCTTGTATCTAACGTTTCTCATTCCCCCCAACTGTTTCGATGGCAATTTTTAATTTGAATTTGTTACTCATAAACTTTTTGACCCAAATACTTTTTGTTCCAATTCTTGATCCTTTGTTTTATGCACGATTGTAATATTTCATCATCATTGCATTTTAATTATATATCACGACGACCTTAATAAATCTCTGGGTTAGTTTATTTTGAGCAGAACATTTCGAAATTTATCTTTATGATGTGAATTGAGTTTTGTGTGTATCTTTGGTTGAAGTAAAATACAATATGCAAATAGAATAAAAAAGGAAAATGATGAATGACTTCAAATTGGTAACAAATAGATTAAATATTCTATTAGTTTTAACGAGACAAAAAAAATTATAGAAACTACTGTGAGAAAAATTTTAACTTAAAGGCACGGTTCTGTGATCTGTTATAACATCTTTATAATACAATTTTTAAAAATTAATCAACTTAAATAAAAAGAAACTCTTATAAAGTATTGAAGAATTTGCAAATGGTTGTAATATAATTTACGTCGGGGTAAAGAGGAAGAAAAAAAGAAAGGACTATTCATCCCAGAGCTGGAAATGCATTTATCACATTTGTAAAACACAAGAATAAATAAAGAAAAAATAGATTGTAATGATCTTTCATGAAGAGTCCTAAAGGTCTAAGGTCACTCTCGATATAAGATTACTGATGTCCTTCAATGAATAATTTCTGTTTTTTAATTTGTATTCCACTATTCTCTGCCAAGTTATGAAAGATTCAACGTTACATTTAGAACCTCGCAGGTTCCGTCTACATGTTGCTAATTGATCTTCTGAAGGTGTGTTCTCTCCATTTACGTTTCTTAATTTCATCTGTTGCTTAAATTTACATTATACTTATGCATGAATCAATATAGATCAATGACTGATACTACTAGATCCACTAGATACTTTATAGACATTGATTTATAAAGTTCTGAATTCTTGTTTAAATTATAGTAGTGTTCTTCCATATTTTATTTAAAAAAAACAAACTGCTTTAATACTTGTACTGAATTCGCTAAGTTTTAAACTAACTTGTTGTTAAAAATTGCTTTATTGTTTCTGGAAGTATTCTCCTTTATGATTATTACACTTTTGCTTGAATTCGAAACATTTGTCGAAGCATTTTTTCCAATCTTCTTTAGACACCTACAAAACATAGTTTCTAAATGCAAGAACGGCTTCTTTTGTCCATAACGACAAAAATAATTATTCACACAATTTATTCTTGACTCGGGAACAAGAAGAAGTCATTGGGTGACAAATCAACACTGTACGGCAGATGATCCATCAATTCCATTTTTTGAAAGTTCGAATAGTCGGTTGGTAGCTGAGATGTGTTAGCATTCGCATTGTCTTGATAGAGAATGATCCGAAGGCGCTTTTTTGTTTTTCACCGGAGACTTCCGGGAGTGTTTGGTATTATGGATATATGTAAATACTATTACATCTAATATTACTTCTAATTCTATTATTTCAGATAATAATACATTTTCCTCTAATCAGCTATTATTTATTTTTATTCCAATGTGTGACGTCTATATAACTTTGTAAGCAGTTTATTTTTACTTTTGACAACATCAGTGGCGACAGTATTTCTACTACTGATCAAGTAACTCATAGATGCAGTTTTGTTACCACTACTAGGTCATAAAAATCTAAGTTTTAAAATCAACTTACATAGGTTATTAAGAATACAATTTTTTTCAGATCTTTGTTATAGATATTTGCGAGGATCATTAGTCTTAATCTTAGTAGGCCTGGATATTTGCAAAGAAAATGTTCACTGGTTTCTTTTTTCTCTTCCTGCCTTCAGCTCCTGCATTTTCGATTTATAGGGATACATAATTTTTTGTCATTCTAAGATATTATTGGGTTTTTCGATTAGTCAATCTGAATTCAATCTAGTTTTACTCTCAATCTGTAAAATTTTGTTGCCCAATCTAAATTTTTTGGATTGATCTAACATTTTTGTAGTAGTGTTAGTAGACATTTATATATTTTATAAATACATATATAAAATGGATTTTTAACGTTCGTTTTGACAAAAGAAACTAAATTCTTGATATAAACTACTGTTTTTAATAAAGAGGTAATTTGAACAGTATTATATTACACCAATAAAATTTTAGTATTTTATTAATTAATGCATAAATACACAACTGATGGGTATTTGGCAATACTCGAAACAGCTGTATGGTCAGCCAAAAATTTAATTAATTAAAATAATATAAAAAATAAAATTTTTGTTCGCAAAAACCTCTTTTTAAATACATAAATAAATAGAAACGTATGAAAATCATATTTTATATGTTAAGTCACATAAAACAGCTGTTAATTTCTGGGTTATCTTGCTACTCTAGAGTGGAAAAATATCTAGAGTGTTATAAATTACTCTCGAGTGTTATACATTACACTCAAGATTTACCAAACGAAAATGAAGATTGCACTAAAAGTGAATTTCATTTGAAAAAGTTACTCCCGATTTAACAATCGAAAACTACATGTGAATGTTATGTTCTAGTAAGTTTGGATTTGTCTAATTTACAATTTAATTAATAAACAAACTCTAAATAACTCTAATGTTTAATGTTTAATTATCATTCAACTTTGACCGAAAATTTGTACCTAAAACGCATTTAATATACATTATTGCCAAATCTACTGGGCAATTATTCAAAAAATGAACCTAACAAATTGTCCATTAGATCTAATCAAGCGTTACTAATTTTCTCAATATATGACTAATTTATCTGAATACGCGTTGGGTTGAAATAATATACACATTTGTATAAATAAGTATATAACGATTGTATATTGCATAATCCAAATATTACAGCCAGCCAGCAAATGAGTTAATAATGACATCAAACACCTTTTTTGTGTGACTTGATTTCCAAACAAATGAAACCTGTAGATACACCTGAAACCGGGGAAAAAATTATTTTGAGCAATTGTGTTTATGTAAAATGTAAACTGAAGCAAAAATTTAATGTAACAATTTTTGTAAAAATATTTGGATCGCTCGCTGGCGTTTTGTTTCAATAAAGGTTATTTTCACTGACATTGAACCAAACAGGGAATTACAAAACCCAAGCCAATGCGCCAGCTGAACACTGAGCACTGAGCGTTGAGCGTTGAGCGCTGAGTTATGGGGGCTCAGCTCAGCTGAGCTCAGCTCCATGCGATATTTGAAGCCAATTAAGTAAAACTAACTGAACCTGAAGTCGACATGTTGTGCGGAATTGTAATTATGTCGTTTGCTGGGCGTGTTGGGTAATTTCTTTTAAATTCGTTGTATTTAGCATAATTGCCGCACTGCATACAAAACCGAGCAGCGATTCAGCCGCGACGCACTGAATCGAGTCCCTGACTTAGACACAAAGACGCAGGCCAAACAAAACAACCACACAACTTATGGAATGTTTATATAACAATTTTATTAATTGATTTAAATTACATAAAAGCCAAGAAAGTGAATTAATGTGTATTAGAAGAGTTCAACGCACCGCACCTCTTCGCATTTAAATCACACTGATGTGTAAGGATTTGTGTGTGAAAATCTTAATTACTCTTAATTAATTAATTAGTTTTACCGTTTAATGGCAACAATTGAGTGGAAAAAATGGCAAATGCTTATATCACTTATTAAACTTATATGGAAATATTTAATTTTTTTTAATTATTTCTCTGCAGATGTGAAAGCGACGACAATGGCTAAGTAAATGACTATGGAAAATTATGTAAAGAGTGCCTAGTAATGTTTGCCAAGTTGTCTGTCATGTGGTTCGAGTATTAATTTAATATATAAGCAAAAACATGTTAATTAACGATTAATAATACTTAATTTAATAAAAATATAATATAAAAAGTTTTTTTTTTTTGAAAAACTTATCGAGTGCATGTGTGTTTAAGTGGCAATCGAAATTGTCACCGACTTACGAATAGCAACAACAACGACAGCAAAATGATTGTGAAAATGGAACCCGATGAATTGATCACTTTGCGGGTACAGTATCTCGTGGATACCGATCCGCTTAATTGTACTGCAATGTATCCGATACCAACGCGTGCGCCGACGTACGCCTTTGCCAGTACAATGCCGTTAGCGACACAATTAGGCACAATTTTGCGTTTATTAGGAGCACCACAACGGGTAAGCTTTTAAATATGTAACAATTTATAAGATACAAAAAATACCAGATGCAATGTACAATATACAATTGTACTAAATCTGGGTTAGCAGAGAAGAAGCTATAAGTTATGAGATAAATCTAATGTATTGATATGCCTTTGTGTATTCGCGAGCGTATGTATAATTGATTTTGAAGTATTCGTTGTGGGTAATTAGTGCGAATTATTTGGTTTTATTTATTTATAAGTTATTTTTATAAATATTGTAATATATAATATATAAAATATGTGTGTTTGATGTAGATATATAGGATAGGTATAATTATATATATATATATAGGTATAGGTAGTAATAGTCGACTAATACTTAATTGATCAAAATTATAGAGTAAAAATACTGCCAAGGGACACCTCGGTTAAACAGACATCCCTTTTGAATAGACAATTTTTATGAAAGCAGATTTTTTTTATTATTGTTTCTAATAATATAACCATAGTTAACCATATTTTGTGTGGCGGTGTAGTATATTGTTGACACTAGTCTGTCTCACCAAAAAATTTGATTGCGCACATCTTCAGAGCAGCTTCTAAAATTTTTATGTGGCAGATATATGTATTACCATTGACTGCACTGTTTGAGAACAATGAAATAGAGAAAATATCAGCCGTTACGACCATTTAAACCATCGTAAACGGTGGTGCTTGACTTCTTGTCTCTATTCGAGGATCTTAATTTTTACATGATATCTGTGTGTAGTAAACATGATCATTATATTTTTTTTTTACTAATCATTTAATTGGAAAATTCATACAAACAGATTTTCGGTATTTATTTATATAATCGCAACTGCTCCTCACCGCAATCGAGCATAGGTAGTTTTCTTCTAACATTCATGAGAACTTATCCATTTGGAAACTTGCAAGGCTTCAACATTTTTTTCATCCATTTTTGAGTATTTGCTGTCTTATTGTGTTCGATATGTTTAGCTAAGTAACTATTTATCTTGCACTGCTGCATAAATCGGACCTTGAGTTTTTTTTCTTGTGGTTTTGTAGTACCACCAGAATCAGGCAATTCTCAATTACCATTCTATGTATGGTAGCCATTCTATGTAGGCTAGCGGATCAATTTACTACAAAATTTCTTGATTCTTTCCCTGAAGACCGGGAAGCGAAGCTGCAATTATATGGAAAAAGCTTGAATAAAGCGATTAGTTGTAACGACCCGATTTTCCAATTTAATGATTGATTCTTGATTGACTACGCATCACTTGAAGAAGGCATCTAAGTGAGACAGAGCTACTATTACATGGGAAGAGCTTGAATGAAGCGATTATTTGTTATGATTTTCCCATTTTCCGAGTTTTATAGATTAAATTAATATGATATTTCTTTGTCATTGGAATAAGTTGAAAACATAAATTAAATATAAATTCATTTTCTTCCTTTCATTAGTCTCAACATTTTGATTATAACCAAAGCTGATTGTTGATTACAAATATATTATAATTTGTTGTAAATATACATAAACCTTAAAAATATTATATTTCAATTTTAAAATTAAATAGTTTTGTTTAAGAAGATGTAATATTACAATTCCACAACTAAGTACTTTTCGTAAGTAAGTTATCTATTGAAAACTATCTGAAAGTCACAAATATTTAAACAATAAAAAATAAAAAAACAGTTTTACGTGTAAAATTATATTAACAAATGCAAATATTTTTCTTATTGTTTAAACTATTTCCACTTAATTTTGCACTTTCAGTAACACTTTTTTTCAATTAACTATTTTTTAATTTTCCCCGCAAATACTTCGGTTAGATAAAAACTGTTTATTTTAAGCAAAAGTAAACATAAATAACTTAAATTATCTTATAGTTAGTAATAAAAAAAAAAAATAAAATAAAATTATTATGTCAGTCTGGAATGTTTAATGAAAGGCCTTCATTGTTAATCAGTTAACAGTATTAAGTAAGAGCACAGAACTGTTCATATATAAACTAATAATTAGTTTATCTTCAATCAACTGCTCAGCTCCGATAAAAGCAGAAAAATTTAATCTAACGTGAATTTACTGAATAAAAAAAACAACAAAAAAAAATATTAAAGTTAAGAATTAAGAATTCAGTTAAATTTTATTTAAATTATTTTAATGTGAGAAGCAAGCAATTAACACAACAAAATACAATTTATGTGCTTAATTAAAAAATAAAATATATCAAAAATTAGTTCTTCTTCACTGTTGCAATTGTACACAGTCAGCTTTAAAGTCTATATATAAATAATAATTTACATATAAATTTACATATTTATTAACATTATATACAATTTGTTAAAAATTAATTTAACCGCAATGCATGTTCGACTTTTTAATTTTAATTTATTTTTGCTAATTTAATGCAAAAAAATAACAACAACAACGAAATTGCTTATCTGAACAAAGTCAATATAACAGACATTTGGAACTCACAGCGTTTCTTAACTGGCATAAAAATAGATAAACAAGACATACACTTGAAAAAATAATAAACATATACCACGAGTCATACCACTTATATTCGGTTGTAAAAAATACGAGTGGTATTTTCGCTAAGATAAAATAACCAGTTGAGTCAGTTTGATTAACATTATTACTTATTTTATTTTTGTTTTGGGATATTACTCGGAAAAAACAAAATGAAACAGAATAAGGATATTAAGGAGTCAGATAGAAAAATAAATAAAAAATTAACATGATTTCTAACTCGAAATTTCAATTTTTCTTGTTCTTTTGTGTTTATTTCACAATTTTATTTCACTTTTTTCTTCATACACAATTTTTGCTCCTTTCTCATGTTTCCATTTTCTTACTCCTTTATATTTTTTTTGCTGTGTTTTTCTATTGCCTGCAATTTTTTTACTGTTCTCTCCTCTCCCGTTTTTTCCTTCTAAAGCTCCTTCATTCCTCTTTTCGTCTATTATCTTTTTTTTCTTCGCGTCTCTTCTCTTTTTTCTTTTCTTCTCTTCTCTTCTTTCTACTTCTATTCTCATTTCTTTTCCTTGCTTCTCTTCTCGTCTCTTCTCTTCTCTCCTTTTCTCTTTTCGTCTCTTGTCTTCTCTTCTCTTCTCTTCTCTTCTCTTCTCTTTTCTTCTCTTCTCTTCTCTTCTCTTCACTTCTCTTCTCTTCTCTTCTCTTCTCTTCTATTCTCTTCTCTTCTCTTCTCTTCTCTTCTATTTTCTTTTTCTCTATTCTTTTCTTCTCTTCTCTTCTTTTCATTTCATCTTTCTTCTCTTTTCTTTTCTTTTCTTCTCGTCTCGACTCGTTTCGTTTCGTCTCTTCTATTTTCTTCTCTTCTCTTCTCTTGTCTTCTCTTCTTTTCTCTTTTCTTCTCTTATTTTCTTCTCTTCTTTGCTCTTTTCTTTTCTTTTCATTTTTTTCCTTCTCTTCTGTTCTCTTTTCTTCTCTCCTCTTTTATTTTCTTTTCTTCTATTTTCGTCCATTCTCGTTCCTTCCCTTTTTTCTACCCTCTTTTCTAATTTTTTTTTCGCTTCTCTTTCTCGTCTTTGTTCATTTCTCTGTATCTCTTTCGTTCCTCTGCTTATCTTGTTTCCTCTCTTTTCTCTTCTTTCTCTCTCTCTTTCTCTTTCTCTCTCTCTCTTTATCTTTCTTTCGATCTCTTCCTTTCTCATTATATCTCTCTTCTTATCCTTACTTCTCCACATTTTCCTTCAATTTAACCAATTTAGTTTAATTAAGCAAAAGTCAAAACCGTTAGTTAACAACCCAAGTTATTTAACAGATAGTAACGGTCACTTTTAAAATCAAATTGTTATTATTTTTAATCTAAACTAAAATCTTGAGAATAAGAGCAAGAGAGAAAATTCATTTAAACTTGGGTCACAGTAACGAGGCTTTTAGTGCCTCAATACTTTGGTAAAAACAGTAATGCTCAGTTAGAGTTTGTGTCTTATACAAACAAATAAACATATTTGTATAGATATGCTTTAGTTTTGATAGATATGCAATAGATTATAGATTGTAGATATGCTCACATTTTAATTTAAAATAAAACACATTTAAAGGGCATCGAATTCATATAAACAGTATGTTTTATATTCACAGTTTTAATATGACATTCTGCATAACATGCCTTTTATAGTCGTCAAAATATATGATTGTCTCCATAACATGATCCTATCAGCAAATTTACCCCGGTAGGCTTAAAAATTTCTGTTGAATGCCCCTCTGTATTCACATTTAGTTGATCAAAGTTAGTCAATATGTGATGTTACGCTTTTGCACACATAATTTTTTTGCAGTGTAAACCGCTTTTAGCTGTTTAACAAAATCGGTCAACGTAAAATGAAGATTTAAGCGGCAAATCATAGCCACAAAACTTTATGCAAAAATTATGAAATTCATTTTTGCGGTTTAGCAGTATTTCAAGAATATAAATTCAACAAAAAATAAATTTTAAAATGCGGTGCCGCTTTATGTTTTTACTTTCATATAAACTTTTGCTTAACTGAAAACGTTCACAATACAATGGAGATACTAACATACATTAATATCCGGAAGTATCTTAATCGACTATGAGATTGAATATAAACTGTGTCTTCGAGTTATTTTGTCGTTTCGGCCGTCTTCATTTGTGTTGATCGTTTCATATGCAAATTAAATGTTTCTTTAATGTATGAAGATTGACAATATTTTTCTAAATTCACATCCCAAATAATTCATTGCCCCCGGACTAGTTGACACACATCTGCGGCGCATATGTGAGACGGTGGACGGACTACAAATTTGTGAATAAATTTTGTAAACAGTAGACTATAGACCATAGACCATAGACTGTTTGAATTATCTGCGATAGCAGAAAACACGATTTCATTGTTATTCATTCGGCTAGATTCTGTTTCAATTTTAGCTACAAAATACTCGTAATTTCACAATCTAAAAGCGTTTGGACCAAAATGTATTAGTCACAAAGTTTTGGCAAGAATTAAATTTATAATTCGGTAATTTCTTGTTAATTTTTT